TGATTAATCTGTGTATGGTTCGTTCTTTGTTTTTTTTTTTTTTTTTTTTTTTTAGCAACACACATTTACAGGTGGGGTGGGGGTAAAATAATTTGTGGAAACACTATGAGTTTTATTGGTTCAATTACGGCTTCGAGTCTGTTTCAGTTTAGGCTTTTATTTTGAAAGCATCTTGCCAGCGTCGCAAGAGTGATTACCGTAATACACAGTATTTGTGTGCACAACAAAGCTGAGTGCTGGCGCCGCGGCTTGGAGGCTATTTTTAACCGCAATCCCAGCCTGGTCCGGACTCAAACCCGCAACCTCAGGATCACAAGACTTTAGCATCTTATAATTTATTAATTATTATCCAGCACGTCATAAATATGACATCTTATATTTATGACTTCGTTTTTTATTTAGACTTGTAAAATAAAAACCTTGACTTGTCAGGCGCGTTAAAAAAAAAAAAAAAAACGTTAAAGTTCCTCTGCGCAACATTTTTCTGTTTTACGGTGGCGTCAGGTAACGACAACTCACGACACACCGAACMCTTTACGACTCAGTTGACATTTGTTGTTTTGTTGCGTCACGCCAGCAGCTGTGAAACTTTCATGTGATGGTTTAGTTTTCGGGCAAAGCTGCGATTAAATGAGTGTGTTTGATTTGTTCCGCGGCTTCTTCGGGGTCCCGGGAGGTCATTATGGAGGCCGAAGGTGAGTTTGTCGAATCAGAAGTGTTAAGTTAGGTAATGGAGTAGCTTCAAACAAGGACGAGATTAGTTTTTTTTTATCTGCCAGGAAAACCGCAGGGGGTCCCTCAGCTAGCACGGCTGTTGTTTTTATTTAAACTCGACTGTAATAAGATTGACTTTGTCAGGGTCTATTAAAGTAACGTTAACCCGTTAGGAACTGAAAAGCAGAAAACTATCTTTTAGGGACCCCTTCTTCGACGCCATGACGCGCGATGAGGACGATGAGGATGAGGATGGTTTCTTTTACGACGGCTTCAGAGGAGACCAGCAGCATCCCTTTGACGATTCGTTGAGGTTCGGTTTCAGCTTTGGACCGAACGGGATGAGGTTCCGGGAGCCCGCAATGTTTGGTGACGTGCTCAGGGAGATGGAAGAGATGTTCTCCCAGCTGGGCCGCTGGGAGGGGGACACAGATCCTGCTCATTTTGGTATGATGACGTAACAGTTTGGTGACTTTAATGTGAATTGTTCTGTCTTAATTTAACCCATCAGGTTACAGTGTCTTCTTCCAGGTTAAATAAAAGTTAAATTCAACTTAAAGATGTTAAGTTCTGTCCATCTTATTTAGGTGCTCCCAGAATCATGCTGCCGTTACCACCTCAGGGCAGATCTGAGAGAGGTGGGAGCAGCGGGAACCCTCTGAGGGACTTCATGCTCAAATCGCCTGATGGTGACCCTCGAGAACCGCACAGCGAGACTCCCGGGAACATCCAGCCTTCGTACGAGTCACCAGAGTTCCCTCCATCACCTTTTCATGGCTGGAGACCTTTCTCTAAGGTTCGAGGTTTCTTTAATATATTATTATTCTCACCAGGACTTTGCTTCTGTTATAACTATCATTTTCATTTCCTCCAACAGTTTAATGATATTTGGCGACAGGAACAGAAAACTCCAGATGAGGAGCCCAAAGAAGACAGAGGTGGGTCACATTTTTGTTTCTTTTATATATATGTATATATTTTTCTTTTAAAACAGTTTTTTTGTTTAATCTGTTCTCCTTTAGATCTGGACTCTGCTGTATCATCCGGAGGCCTGGATCAGATTCTGTCTCCACCTGCAGGCCAGGCGCCAAGTCAGCCCAGAACCAGATCCTTCTTCCAGTCGGTCACAGTCACAAAGGTGGTGAAGCCCGATGGGGTGAGTTGTTCTTTAATGCTCCTTAGCTGTGAAGTTTTTATCATTTCAGAGACGATTTAAATATTTATGAAATATGTGACTCATCGCATTGAAACGAAGATTATCTCAAAGTGCTCATGGTGCAGACCAAATATTAATGTATTATCGTGATTAAACAAATAAATCAACCAAACTGGAAAATGCTCAAGATATCAGTTTAAAAAAAAAAGGTAGCTTAAAAAGTCAAGAATCTGAAAATGTTCTTAGGTTATTTTGACCAAATTTGACTTGGTTTGATGTGATGGGTCACGTTTCATGTGTGTAATATTACACTTCCAAAATATGAGAAATAATACTCAACAGGGGCCGTTTCCTGTGGAATCATTTTTGTACCTTTCTATAAATAAAAGCACAGGCATGACGGGAAAAACATTTATACAAAATATAAAAAATCCAACTAAATATAATTTGTTCCTGAGTTATTTTTGACTCTAATCAGAAGCTAAAACATTGGAGATGAGTTCTTGATCACCAGGGTTTTCCCTAGGATCTTTTTTAACTGTGGTGGTGGCCTCTCATGGGGGAGTAACAGGACACAACAGGTTACAAACCTGACAACTGCTGACAAAATCTGGTTGTCCGCAAAACATTTTGGTTTAAAAAAAATCTAAATTAAAATGTAATTTAATAAGTATATTGTTCTGTGTATAAATTTTACATTCATTCATACATACAAAGGAAGAAACTCAGCTTAGCCTGTTAGCCTTCATGCTAGCGCCGATGCTATATTGCCTTATATGTATTAGCTCGGTGCTAGCGCGACAAACAAGCTAAACTGAGGTCCTCCATCCATATTTTCAGTTGCAGACTGAGTCATTTTTGCATTCCCCTCTCTGTCATGTGGATGGAGGACCTCAGTGATGAGAGGAGAACGTGTAGCGCTGAGCTAATACATACATATGATGATAGCATCGGGGCTAACGCTAAAGCTAACAGGCTAATCTGAGGTTCTTCTTTCATGAAGCAGCTCTGTTGTCCTCCATCCATATTTTCAGTTGCAGACTGAGTCATTTCTACCTTCTCTCTGTCGTCAACGCTCTCTGGTTTCATTTAAAAGAGTCGATCATCAGATATTGTCCAAGATTAACCTTCAGGGTGGATATAGCTCGCTAGCAGCCTCGCACCGAGGACCTATCCACGTCATCATTTACCCAGAATGCTTTGCGTGTAAATAAAGTGGCCCCGTCCGTGTAATATATTTTAAACTTGTAGTTTAAAAATCATAAAAACTGAACATCCTACTGTGTTTTTACAGTCTTTATTTTACAGTTAAAATATATGTTTATCTAATAAAGTCTAATGTTTCAACTAATCATGGATATCTTTAACAGGGTCTTTTTTTCTCCGGTTCATTTTTACAATGACGAACACCTGCGGCGGAAATCTTTAATCTAGATCTTAATCTAAACAATGGTTGTGTCGACCCCTATTTTACGTTGATTTTGTTGATCTGCGATCAAATACACGTAGGGGAAACACTGATCACGTTAAAGGTTTTAAATAAATAGCTTTAAAAAATCAAACTGTGTGAAAATGCATTTCCTTCTCTCTGTGTGTGTCAGACTGTGGAGGAGCGGCGGACGGTCAGAGACGGACAGGGAAATGAAAAGACCACGGTGACCCGGTCAGGAGGTGCGGGAACGTTAGAGGGACCGGACCACACTGGACCTGAGCATCCAGGTCAGTTCAGCTTCTTCAGAASSGTTCAGCATCATCAGCTGTGTTTCAGTAGAAAATAAAATTCCTCCAGTTTTTAATATCTTCACTCTGTTTTTGTTCCAGGTGGTCCTCATCGCTTCTCAGACCTGCGGGACGACCACTCTTTATTCTCCAAGTTCTTCAGAGGATTTAAATAACATGTAGATCAAAACACAGATTCAGGACTTGTCGGTTTTAGGTTTCGTTCCCCTACAGCTGTCTCCCTTTGGCTCTGTTTGATTATTTGTCGACGGACTGTTAAATGAACCTTGATTTGCCAAAATAAATGTAAATCTGTTGACGAAGCAGAAAATTTATTAGATTCTTACAAAGCAAGACTCCAGGTAAAATGTTTTATTTTTGTATCCTCCCACAGAGCGTGGCTGGAACTGAGGGGAGGAATTGAATAAAGATTTAATATATTTACACAGCTGTTTGACTGCATTTGAGTCAGACTGGTAGGGGAAAAAAAGAGGTGATTCAAATGAGATGAACCTTAAAGCAGCATTTCTCTACTGAATCATTAGTTCGCTTAATGAACAATTAATATCTTACCTGCTGTAGATACGTCACTGAGTGACTCCAGTTTAGAGAAATTAGGTTTAATTCTGACTGAATTGAGGAGCTAAGCTGAGCAGAACCCAGGACCATTAGCTCAAAATTAAACTTTTCAAACGGAGGTTGTTTGGAGAGTTTTCTGCAACAGGTAAGATGTTAATTGTTCAAAACCTCTCAACTCTAAATGATCTGAACTGTTGCTTTAAGAGTCAGAGAAGGAAAAAAATGGTTCAGGTTGAACGCCCATCAATCAAAGTTAAGTCCGATCAGCTGGAGCTGGTCTCAGACCTGGATCCGGCTGCAGTGGTTTCTCCTGTCTCCTCTGTAGGAGTGAAACTRCTCAGCCTCGTAATAAACTGTGTGATGTAACAATAAGTCCAGCCTGAAGGGTCGAACTCTGCTCAGAGAGGCTGAAGGTGCAGAGCTGCGCAGCTCYGACGGACCTGATCTCTCACCTGGACCTGAACCACGCGCAGCTGGAGGATGGAGCGGCTGCTGAGAAGGTGTCGGATCAAAAACAGGCTGGTCAGGGAGTGCATGGCTGAATGTCTCGGAGTCTACGTCCTGATTGTAAGTATCTGACGAGCTGTCACAGCATTTAATATTAAACCGCTRCCTCTTCTGCTATTAAAAGAAAAGTTAGTGGACTTTGGCCTGATTAAAAGCAGACCGTGGGTAAAAGAGGGGCAGTAACAGCGTGTTGGACAGTTGTTTTATCCTTAATGACCGTCTCCCCTGTCGGCGCGATGAACATTTACAGAGCAGACCATAAAGCAGGTTAATCAGAAATGAAGTCTTTAGGGTCTTCGCTTGCTTGTTTTCTTTCTCGGATTAATAAGAAAGCAGCACATTTATGAAGAAAAACAGTTTTCTGGACATCGTTATAGTTTATAATGATTTTTAATTTTTACACTCTTGAAACCTTTCCTCATCTTATAATTGCAGCTGTTCGGATGCGGCTCTGCAGCCCAGGTGACCACGTCTGGTGAAAAAAATGGCCAGTACCTTTCCATCAACTTGGGTTTCGCTTTAGGGGTGACGTTTGGGGTCTTTGTGTCCCGTGGAGTCTCGGGTAAGACACAAATGTAATTTTTTTTGTTTAAATCCTGTGGCTATAAATAACAAAACCTTTTAATCYTCTCCATTATTTACTTATTGTTCTCCAAGGTGCGCACCTGAACCCCGCGGTCACTCTGAGCCTGTGTGTTCTGGGCAGATGTTCGTGGACCCGACTACCGTTCTACACCTTCTTCCAAGTTCTCGGAGCCCTTCTGGCTGCAGCCACAGTGGGTCTGCAGTACTACGGTGAGCCTCCCTGCAGTCACGACCAAATGTACCAGCATGAGAAGCTGAACAAACCGTGTTCACGTCRCGACTGCTGCTGTTGGGTTGAGCTCGTTCTTGTGTTTTTTTGGGAAAAGTTGCCCGTTGGGTCTCTGTGTGTAAATGTTTGCAGATGCCATCCAGATGTTTGGCGGGGGTCAGCTGACAGTGACGGGTCCCACCGCCACAGCGGGTATTTTCTCAACCTACCCAGCCGATCACCTCAGCCTGTGGGGGGGGATTGTTGATCAGGTCAGTTACACACCCCTTTTTTTTTAAATTAATTTGATTTATTGCAACACAAGCCAAGAATCAGACAAATCATTTAACTCTTCTGCTGCCCTTGGCTCAAAATCGAGGCCTTACAATATTGCAACTTTATGAAACTAGTTTTTTACGTAAAATATTTAAAATTCGTAGACAGTCGGCACTGCCGCCCTGCTGCTGTGCATCCTGGCTATCGGGGACCAGAGGAACACCTCCATCCCTGATTATCTGCAGCCGCTCCTGGCTGGAGCGTCCGTTCTGGTGATCGGCATCTCCATGGGTTCGAACTGCGGCTACCCTCTGAACCCGGCCAGGGATTTTGGACCTCGACTCTTCACCTACATCGCCGGCTGGGGAGAAGAGGTTTTCACGTGAGTAGTTCGMCCTGCAGCTCATTTGTCTGATTGTCCCGCGCTCATGTTTTTGCACATTTTGTGAGTGCTTATGTCTGTTAGCAGTGGGCACAGCTAACAAGAGTTAGCTTCACTAACCTCTGATCCATTAAWCAAGAGTCTTAGTTKCYCTAACGCTAAACCGCTAAGCAGATTAAAAATTAGGGGAAGCTAACTGCTAAGTTGACTGTCACTCAGCTTAACMTCTTCATCTCRTTCCAGTTAAAGTTTTCTATTGGTTTAATTTGAAGGTGGGCGGTATCATTTGTGGCAAATCGGCCAATCCAAAGCAGAGTTTTAGCTCTGCCTAACTTGTGATACTTCCAGTTTATCAGTGTTGTATAAAGTACCACAAATWGATACTTGAGTGCAAGTATCTTACCAAAAAATTACTTTGGTAAAAGTTAAAGTCTCCTTTAGGAATATTACTTGAGTAAAAGTCTTAGAGTATCTGATAAGTTTTGTACTCAAGGATTAAAAGTAAAAGTATTGATTTAAAATGAGCAGTTAGATTTTCTGTAATATTTATTAGAAGGTGACCTCCCCAAAAAATGCAGAAATGACTATATTGTATTAAAATAAGTAATTTTTGTTAAATTTAGGGTGCACTCGTCCAGATGTTTCAGTTTATATACATATATCAAGGCTGCTCAAACCTTTTCCCAAAAATAAAAATCTATCCAAGAGCTGCGGCCAAATGCAATAATATAATTCATGAAATACAAATACTTCTTAAGTACAGTCCTTTTATTTTAATGATTATGTCCTGCTGGAGTGTGACATGATTTGTTTGTGTACAAACTAATAAGGTATCAGAATTTTATATATTTATATTTCTCATTCAACCACAATTAAATTCACTCTATGTAAGAGGCACAATTTATATGGATAGTATTTATTTATTATAATAACAAGCTGGAATGAAAACAAGCAAAAAGGAAATAAAAGTAACGACTTTCTTCTTCTTGCCTTTTTTAAAACTGTAAGGAGTAGAAATTCAGATAATTGTGTGAAAATATAAGTAAAAAAGTAGGCTAAAAATAATTACTCAAGTACAGATACCCAAAAATTCTACTTAAGTACAGTAAAGAAGTATTTGTACTTAGTTACTTTACAACTCTGCAGTTTATTCCTTTCGGAATAAAAGCATTTCTTTAACCAATTTTTTTATAAATAGTTTGAAAATTAGCAATAAAAACTAATCCACTAAATAAGAATCTAGTTCCGCTATTAGCAAATTACCGCTTTAACAAAATTATGCCCACGACTGTCTGTCAGTAAAATATCTCATACTCACTGGATAMATTTTAATGAAACTTTTAKGYAATAATTTTTCTGTGCCTCTACAACTCATTAACKTTTGAGGTCAGCTCAAGTCAAGATGGCCGCCACCACTATGGCTGTAACTCAGTRAGTTTAGCAGACTTTGAACTAAAATGTGACGTGGTAGTAGCTGAGAGTGAATAGGTTTTCTGTGCAAACAGGGCCGGAGGAGGCTGGTGGTGGGTGCCGATCGTTGCCCCCTGCATCGGAGCGGTGCTGGGGGTTCTCATCTACGAACTCCTGGTTGAAGTCCACCATCCTCTTTCCTCGGAGAGCCGGACTTCGGGTCAGGAATCACGCGAGGAGAAAGGAGTTGAACTGGAGGGAGTGGAACCAGAAGGTGGAAAACCCGTTTAACTGACCAGAGGAGGAAACTTCCAGCCGTTGCACTTTAAAACATGAACATATTGTACGCTAAACAATCATTGTCAAATCTACTGGAATATATTTCTACAGAAGACGCCCTCCTGTGTTCTTTGGCAGCGTTATCGCTCATTATCTCTATTTGATTGTAAACTTTATATTTATATAGTTTCAGACAGTTCAGCATAACTTTAAAGATTAGATTAGAAACTGAAAACTGAGCTTCAAAAGGCCCTCCGAATGACAAACTACAGCACCTTCAGTATCTTTTCCACATTTATTTCCAAACAGCACAGAAGTGTATGGCATTTCAGCAAGCAGACCACAACCATGGAAAAGAAAATGACGTGAAACTTCCACTACTGAGCTATATAAATATGATATGACATATAAAAAGATACAAACAGAAGATTTTTTTTGTTTTGTTTTCCACTCGTAGGCCCTCCATCGTGACTGAAGGCCTGAACGTATAAAAGAAAAGTGAGTACAGCAAGCACTGATCCTGTAGTTACAAAAGAACCGTCTGAAAGAGATAAACATTTTTGTTTTTCATACACATTAAGACAACACAACCCCCTTGTCCTCCTCATCTGTAATTATGTGTAGATAACTCTTAGGGGGGGTGATTATTTTTTACAATTCTTTTTAACCATGAACCAGTTTTAGGAAGAAAAAAGGGAACGGTACAGGTACAAATACTACACATATTCACATTATCATAGCAAGTTACTAAAACTGGAACGCTTTCTTAGTGTAATTTTGTGTATTTACATTTCAAAACTCGTTTACTACTTGACAGGAAGCCCCGCTCTTTCCTCTAGCTTAATGTCACAAATTATCCGCACGACACAAACTCAGAGTTTCTCATTTCATGTCTCTGCTGCACTAACACCATACCAACAGCAACAATGTGATTTTTTATATTTATATATAAATAAATACCATTGCAACATTAAAATCAGTGTCAATTTTTTTTCCCTCCCCGAACACTCCCTTTCATGCTTCGCGTGTCTTCGATTTTCTTATCAGCTTTCAGAGGCGTTAAAGCTGCTCCAAACAAAACAAAAAAAAAAAAGGATGGACTTTGAGGCAAGCAGCGATTATTACATGTCATGGAGGAGTGTAGTGTGAGGCCTGTGTTTTACAAACAGGCATGTGGCTACAGTCAGTGCAGACTGAGGATGGTAAATGTGTTGAACACAGTATGGCTGATGGAAATGTTTTTATGTTTTTTGTTTTTTTACTTGGAAGTGTTTCTGATCAAACATGCAGTAACAATGGCACTGAAGAGGTGCCACAGGGACTAAAATGCTTCTTGTTGCTTAAAAAATGCTCTTCAACATTCATGTCCTCCAGCCCCGCCCCCGTCAGTCTCAGGCGACTGGACCCCGCCCCTCTACTGGGGCTTGTCCGTCTTGTGTGCGGTGAGGAAGGCCATGCCGTGGGTCCTGAAGTGCGTGTTGAGGTCCGTCGCCTTGTCGAAACGCCGCCCGCACACCCTGCAGCTCAGGTTCCCGTCTCCGTCCTCGCCCTGCGCCTGGGGGGAGGTGGCGAGGGAGGCGTCCGGAGAGCCCGGGGCGCAGGGGCCGCCGCGCTCTGCGTCGCCCTGCGCGTCCCGCACCCGGTGCGTGATGAAGCGGTGCCTGCCGAGGGAGCCGGCCGAGGCGAAGCAGACGCCGCACTGCAGGCACTGGAAGGAGGCGGTGTCGCCGCGGTGCTGCGGGATGTGCTGCTGGAACTCCGCCCCGTCCTCTGTGGAGAAACCGCAGGGGACGCAGCGGAACACGTTGTCCTCCTCCTCCAACTCGCCGGGTGCCGACGACGTGGACGCCACGGAGGCCCTGGTTCTCTTCGCGGGGCCGCTGCCGTCTTCCGTGGGGTTCTCCTCTTCATCAGCTGCCCTGCCTACAGGYGGGCCAACTTCACCGTCTTGCTCTGAGGAGCTGCCGGGTCCGTCTCCTCCTGTAGCTGCACGCTTCCTGGTCAGAGGGGGACCCTGAGGGAAAACAAACTGAGGCTGAGCAGCTGCACTTCAAATACTGAGTCCTTGTACTGTTTAACAACAACAACAAAAAAATTACATTTTCTGTAAAAAAAAAAAAAAGAATAACTAATTAACTTTTAAAGCTGAAAGAGTCAAATATTTAGCTAAAAAATTAAATAGCTACAGACAAAAATAATGTGAAATACAACAGATTTACAAAAATCATCATAGCATGCATCTTTCGCATGAGCCAACCCTACTTATATGCAATTTGGTAAAATGCTGAATCCGTTTTCACGCAATAAAACTAAAATCACCACTGTTTACTAAAATATCTGACCTTTCAAGTAAAATTACTGTGTTTTTAAATAAAAAAAACTGCTGGGTTGAATGACCTCACATCAGGATGATAAATTATGATCAAGAAAAAGCACTTTAGAGACTCACTTGCCCATCTGTTCTGTGATGAAGCCGGATGTGTTTGTCCAACAAGAACCGACTGCCAAACGTACGTTTGCCTTCTGTGCAAAACCTGAAACAACAGGGAGACGTGTTTAAAGATATTATACTGACACTGAGAAGATTAGCCTGTAAAAACACTTCATATTAATCCTGATCTTTGTTTCTTGCAGTGCTATGATTTAAAAAACAATATAAACTCCAGTAGTGCCCTCTAGTGGTCAAAAAGTGTATCACAATCAAGTTTAAACAATAGTTTTTTTAACAGCTGAACTTTGAGGGGGAATAATTTAAAATAACATTTAAGCTGAACAATGAAAGGTGCTGACTCACTGGCAGTGGAAGACTCTCTTGTTGCCCTCATGAATGACACGTTCGTGACGTCGCAGGCTGGACGACGTGCTGAAGGTGCCTCCACAGATACGACAGGGGAACTTTGGAGCAAAGAAGAAACATTTAAATGAAACAAAATTTGAGATAATTAAATCTGAGTGTAACCAGCGGGAAAATGCTGCACCTTGCCGTGCTCCATCTGTACGTGACTCTGGTACTCCTCGTTGTCGGTGAAGGTGGTCTGACACTGAGCGCAGGTCCACTCAGTCGGAGCGCTTGAATGACTGCCACCCCCGGCGGCAGAGTTACCTCCCGGGGCTTCYTAGTCCTCGTCCCCTCCGTCGTCTTCGTCGTTTTCCTCCTCTTCCTGTTCCCGCCCCCAGTCCTCACCGTCAGAGGTGTCGGGCTTTCCAGAGGATTTGGACTTGGAGCCAGAGGGAGTGGACGAGTTGGTCGGAGCCGAGGCGGGGTTTGAAGCGTCGGGCTGAGACTCCTGTTTGGCTGAGATGCTTCTGTGAGCGGTCTGAGACAAGAACATATTTACTGACGAACAGTTTGGTTTTGGAAAAAATATTTTGCAACTTTTATCTACCTTGTGACTTCTTTTACTAACATTTTGCTACATTTAACTTTTAGCRYCTTTTCACTTCTTTGAATTTACTGTTTTTATCTTTAACAACTCAACTTCAGCAAACTCAGCATTTACACTTTAAAGTGTCTGTGACATCTTTTTTTTTTTTTGTAATAAACCTGAACGCAGTTTTGGAAAGATAACATTGATAACATACTTCAAAAATAATTTCACACTGCTGAGCTGAACAGTTTTTGAGATATTTACATGTGAAGTAACAGGAAGTGATGTCAAAGGGGAATGTCTGCATGTTAACAGAGCATTGCTAAAATAACACAGACAGAAGAACCTGATGTTTCTTTAGATTACCTGAGTCATTATCAGTAAAAATATTGATTCAATAAACAAACGGAGTTTTCTTTCTTTAAGAGTTTCCCTTTGATGTCACTTCCTGTTTCCCTTCAGCTGAGCCAAGTTCAAAAGAAATTATGCTAGTTATGTGACAAAATGAGTAAAATCTTATGTGTTTTTTTTCCTTTTTGTATTAGATGGGTCACAAACACTTTGTTATAAGACAGATATATTTTCTGCAGTAAGAATGTCCTTGTACAGAACTTAGGACAAGGTCACAGGTGAGGAACCTTGCTAAGGCCGATCCAAGTTTCTCTGTCTGCCTTTTCTGACACCACATTCATTGTAGGAGGCAATGAATGGGCAACACATAAAGGCAAAAAGTCAACTGTGCATTTATGCTGCATTAATTAAAATACTTAAAGCCTGTGACACGTGAAATATTATGATCCAAAAACACACCTTAATATGCTCCATCATGGAACCCTTCTGGGCGTAGAGTTTAGTGCAGTCAGGACACTTGAACACGTGCACTTTTTGCTTGGCTAAATGCGTGTCAAAGTGCATGTACAGCAAGGGTTTCTGGGTAAAGACCGTATCACACATCACGCACTTGTAGATCATCCTAAAAAAMAAACAAAAGCAGATAATTGTTTATCAAACCTGCTCTAAAGATCTTCTCAACGCGTGCAGAAAAGTTCTCGTACTTGGCCTGTCCTCCGGTTAGTGTCGGGTGCTGGGTGCTGATGTGGCTCTGGGCGCTGGGGGAAGACTTGAAGGCCATGGGGCAGCTGGGACACTTGTGGAAGATCTCGCAGTGAGCCGTCTGAATGTGGGACTTGATGGAGTTCAACCCTCCGAACACGACCTGGCAGCTCGAGCACCTTGAAGCAACACGGGACATAAAAAAATATATATATTTTTGTGTGTGTGTGTGTGTGCGTGTGTGTTGTTTAACCCTCCTGTTATGTTGTGGGTCAAATTGACCCGTTTTAAAGTTTAAAATTTTTTTAAAAATCGTTTAAAGTATTTTTTCGGCATGAAACTTTTTCTATTTGTCTTAATATGTATAATTTACATATAAAATGAAAATGGTTCATTTTACATTTTTGCAGCAGCTGTGAGACATATTTCACCTCAAACACACACACGTTGGCAGATATTGGGACAATGTGGTACAAGTGGGTTGAACAACTTCCGCTGCTTTAGGCCCTAATGTCACAGTGGATGAAGGTTTGTGGTAGTCAGAGGTTGCTGCTCAGTTTATTTTCAGTATAAATCTTCATGACTCATTTGTCTTGGTTTTTAATTAGCGGGCCAATTTGACCCAGAACAGACTAGGTGTCTCAAGTTCAATTAAAAACATCACTACTCAAAAATAATAATAATAATAATTCAAAATCAATTTAATGAATAATCATTGGGCCTCATGCAAGAACCGTTCGTACGCACAGATTTGTTCTTAAGTTGTGCGTACGAGTGATTTAGGAGAATTTGTGGCATTCACCAATGTTTTCGTATTTTAAGATTTTTTTCAGATACGAACAAAATTCACGAGTGGTCCAGACCTGTCGTYTATTTTACGAGCAGTCAGTCTGCTGTTATCCAGACAGGTTTTCTTCATTAATAACTTAAATTTCGTTAGTTTGAAGATATTTTGAGTTGAAAATAAATCACTCCACAATTATGTTGACAATAGGCTATTCTGCTTGAATTAGAGTTATAATTTTAAATGTAATAATTTAGACTAACAATATAAATTGTCCGTTCATCCGTTTTCCGCCGCTTATCCAGGATCGGGTCGCGGGGGCAGCAGCAGAGAGACCCCGCTCTCCCCAGCGACAACTTCCAGCTCGTCCTGGGGGACTCCGAGACGTTCCCAGGCCAGAGGGGATACATAATCCCTCCAGCGAGTCCTGGATTTTCTCCAAAGTGCCAGACTTATTTTHAAAACATTTTAAAATGCTTATTTCAGAACRGTAACTGAGACCACTTGAGACCGCGCTGGGGGGGCGCAACACGTTGCGCAACAGTGTGTCTTCTGAATAAATGAAAATGATTTAACACAGTTGTTTATACTTTTAGCAGCTCTTTTTTATTCCACAGCTGACCTGATAAAAATGACAGATTTTCTTTTCTGGATCTCTGACAGACGGACTTCAATCTCTGAACTCGTAAAGTTCTCCTTTTTAATTATTGCTGTCATTTTTCATGAATGGACACTTGCATCTGAGGCAGGAAACACAGCCTTATATGGTGTTTTTGGGGTGGTAATTATGCTAATCTCCTCTCGCGTGCACGAGCAGCTGGATACGAACAGGTGGAATTCATTTACACCCTTTTCCTGAAGATAGAAGAGTTTGTTGAATCTGACGTGACATGTTCGTACGAACCCTTTGTACGTACAAAAGTAAGAGAAATTTAGGATAAGAATACGAACATGTTCCTGCATGAGGCCCATTGTTTTTTGTGTGTATGGTTTTTTATTGGACATATAAAAATGTAACATGCTTTTTTTCTTTTTTAGGAAAACGAGTGAAAATTCCTCACTGATTTGATCCTTTATCTGAAATAAAAAAAAAAAACATCAATTCACAAATATTGATTAAAATTGTCAGTAACGGAGTTAWTAATCAGATTTTGGGGAATTTTTTTGGTTTCTGATACCATAGCATGATTAAAGATTCCCCGGGTCAAACTGACCCAGGAACATTATTGCTGTTCCTCAGAAATGAACATAACAGGTTAAAAGCCTCCTATAAAACAAACGGTAAAGATAGTAATTTTTATTTTTATCACTCTAATGRATAAAACTGAAGACATTTGCTGGCGCAGTAATGTGAGTTTTGAAAAGTCTTCTTACCTGTAGCCAATGCGCCTGGCGAAATGCAGACAGGCCTCCTCCAGGTGAGTCTGGAAGCTCGCCTGTCGCGCGATTCCGCCACATTCAGGACACACGTGTGGAGCTTTGTGTTTGTGGATCCTCTGGTGGGCGGACACGGCACACGAGTTGGGGAGCATCATGGGAGGCGAGCACTGAGTACACGTCTGCAAGACAAAATAATAATAAGAGATTCGAGCCCACCCTCAGTATTTCCACACGTGGGGRTATTCCTCCGAAGCTCACCGAGTTAGGAGCTCCTCTGATCTGCTGGAAATGAGTGACCAGCTCAGTTTTGCCAGAGAACTGCGTTTGGCACTCTGGACATTTAAAGTTGTTGTACTGCAGCCCCTCGGCCTTTTTGCAGGGCAGAGGCATGAGCGCCTGGGGGCCCTGAGGCACGCGGCGGACGGTTCGAGGCTGGGCTGCCGCGGGACACGACGCGTCCTTCATGGGGCTGGAGTTGGCCACGGCGGCGGGACCCCCAGGTGTGGTGGAAGGAGAGGAGACTGGAGGAGAGGACGAAGAGGTGAGCAGGCCTGTTCAGCCGAAAGGCGGAGAACAGAGACAAACACGTGTCACAAATCAATATGATTCAACAGAAAATAAATCAGTAATAACTGAGGGAATAATTATTTTTGATATATTTATAAAAACAGCCAAAGTGACTGAAAGTAGGTCAACATTAGTGACATCTGAGAAAAAAGTGTTTTAGGATGGAGGAGTCTGAGGATTCTGTATTAGTAAATATTTACACTCAGACCGATATGTTGGGCAAAATTGGCAAATAAAAGTGTTGTTTACATTAAGTGCGTYCCTGCATTTCATATCTGAAAAGCGACAAACTTTTTCAAATTGCACTGATATGGTTCAGGGTAACCTATTTCATAGACAAGGGCTTTTTAATTAAAATTGCTCCGGGAGCCACAGTTAATGCAGGCCAACAGCTCGGGGGCCGAATATCCAGCAAMTAAAGTTGTTATGAAAATAAACCAATTATTACAAAGATATGTTACCTTTGAATTAGTTTATTTTGCTGRATTTAATCATGAATATAACATACAGAACCCTATAAAAGTAGTGATAATTAAACAATATCAAAAACAAAAAGAACACATTATGCCTCATTTTTAACACAAATATTATTTTGACATCTCTGACTTGCTAAATTTTTAAACCAATTTTATTTTCACTTTCATAGTTTTATCTTCAACTGTTTGTAGTTTTAACTGTCTTGAGTGTTTATAGAAATGGTTTTACCAGCTTCTAGRRAAGATRCTGATGTTTCTGTWGATARCAAACARGTCTATGTTTAACTAAAAGAACTCATAYTAATTAAAGTAGCAAACCGGGGGTTTGGGCTTYAGAGATGAATGAACCAATTGGCYGGCCAAACTTTGGTCACTCGTGGGCCTAATGTGGCCTGCAGGCCGCCAGTTGAATAGCCCTGTAATAGACTATATTGTACTTTTTTATGCGGGTCACAGGTCAACTGGTAAAACGCCCTTTGAACTGTCCAAATTCAARAAGCACAAAAATCTAATTTATGACAGATTTTAATGAAAAACTCATCTATGATCTTAAAAAAAAGTTTAACACGAATCACTTGAGAGCATCTGTATAACGGAGAGAATTTGATCAATTCCAAACGCAACCTCAGCATTTTCCCAGTGAGCATGGCCCGCTTCGTGCATTTGTAACCAATTTTAACTACAAAATGGTTTAATTTCATAGTTTTGAAATTAGTAGTAACAATACAACACAAGCTGCTTCTCAACTCACCCCCGATTGGCGTTATATCTTGCTGCCCGATCATCTGCTCCACAGTGACCGGCCTCATGACCAGATGTGAGCACTGCATGACCAGCCCGCGCTCCTTGTGCTCCCTGGCGTGCAGCAGCAGGCTGCACTTGTTGAAGAAGGCCAGCCTCTTAGCACAGTGGTTGCAGGTCACCTCGATGCGAAGCGACCGGCGGTCGTAGTGTCGCGCCAGGCTGCGCTCCAGGGCGAAGGCGTCGCCGCACTCGAGGCAGCGGTACCCTGTGGCGGGGAGCGGCAGGCCCCACTCGGGGGGCGGGGGAGCTGAGAGGTCAGGCTTGTAGCTCGGCAAAAGGTTCTTGCTGTTCAGGATCTTGTTGAACGCCTCCACCAGGCTCGACTGGCTCCGGGAGATGACGGCGCCCGTGCTGTTGACGATCGAGGCGGGTTTGTTGGACTGGAGGGTGCCGCTGCCTCCGTTTGCYGATTTGTTGGCGGCCGTGCGGACGTTTATCCCGCTAGCAGCTACTGAGAACTTGGGGGAGGAGGCCACCGCCGGCGTTGCAGGCAGAGCAGCAGATTTAGTGATGCTGACAGCAGCGGCGGAAACCTTCACCTTCTCCGACGAAGCCATTTTGTTCTGGACCTTTGTGGCGGCAGCGAGCATGACACTGCTGGCTGCCAGCGTCGACACAGGCAGCGCATTGAGAGCACTTACTTTCTGTGACGCAGGCATGTGACCAGGAGAGGCCTCMGATTTTTGGGTTTTGTTTGCTAGCGCCTTTTGTTCCCCACTTTGAGCTTTCGGGTCCGAGCCTTTCCCTCCTTTTGGCGCCACTCTCGTCACAGTTCTGGTGATTCCACCCGTGGAGGTTTTAATTGTTTTTATTCTGACTTTAAGTGGGCGGGACGGAGCTCCAGAAGGAACCGGTGCAGCGTTGCCTTTGCCTCCTTCCTCGGTGGATAAGGGTTTTGACTTGCCATCATCCACCTCCATGTTTTCCTCATTTGTTTCTGTATTTTCTCCCTTGTCAGCTTTGCCATCAACCACCCTATCGATCCCGTTCCCGACCTCCATCTCCTCCTCCTCATCTTTAGGCTCCCGCAGCTCAGAAGGAGGGGGTGTGGAGGCCACGGCGGGGCTGGAGCATCTCTTAGCGGTGACCTGGGCGGTTGAGTTTGGCACCTCTGGTTCAGGACTTTCCGGTGAATCTCTCTCTTCGATCACATGTTCAGGGTTCCTCTCCTCCACCTGTGGAATCTCCGTGGAGCCAGACTGAGGGGTTGATGAAGTCAGAGATGATTCTGAAGGCGTGTCGCCAGGTTTAGGCTGAGACGGGGCCGAGGAGGTGGACTGGGCTGAGACGGAATCGGACCTGTAACGTCGGTTCAGCTGAGTGCAGGCTGGGGAGTCTGGGATCTCTTGGATCAACAGCGGACTCCCCAGATCAGCATCAGAATCCTCCTCCTCTGCCTGGTGGTGCTGTGATCCAGCAGCGCTGCTTTTGGGAGCTCCGTTAAAAGGCTGAGAGGAGTGCAGCGGGTGTGATGAGGGTGCAGAAGGTGGAGCTGGAAGCAAGGGCTTGGAAGGTGGAAAAAAAGGCAAAGACAGTCCTACAGGCCCAGCAGCAGCAGCCAGAGGGGGCGACCCGGCAGATAGAGAGGAGCACGTAGGTAATGATGCTTTGACCCCATCTGCCCTTTCTTGACCCGTATCCTGCTGCTGTTGGTGCTGCTGCTGCAGAAGCTGCATCTTTCTGGCCCGACCCACTGGATCTCCAGAGCCCTGCGCCACAAGCGGCTTAAGTCTGTTGAAAATGTTGGCACCCTGCTTGTGAGACTTGGCTGTGCTGGCACCAGCGGCTTCCGCAGACACTTTAGGGGTGTTCATGGACCAAGGCGCACCGTTGGACTGAACCTGGCTGAGGGGGAGCGGCGTGGAGACACCAGATGCTCCAAAACCGTTGTGATTGAGCGCCTCAGAATCCGCCATCCCAGGAGCGCACGCTCCAAGCCGAGGACCCACATCTGCCCCTGTGATCACATCGATAGGATGCTGGTCCGTGTCTCCCTCTCCTCCGTCCACCGTCTCGTGGCGAACTTTGTTTTTCACGATCACACTCACGATGGAGGTGTCCGCCTGGGGGTCCAAGGGGCTTGGCGGTCTCAGAGARGACCCAACACCCACCACGTTTTCCGGCTTCCCCAGAGGTGCACCTGCAGCTCCGTGGGGTCCTTCTGCTTCATCTGGGGCAGACTGGATGGCCTCTTTGGCATCTATGTCAGGAATATCAAATGCTGCTAACAGGTCATCAAAATCTGGGGTCTTCATGTCCCCCATAACGGGATCGACTCCTGTTAAAACATAAATTTTCACACTTGTGATTTTGACAATAAACTTGAGACATGAGTGTGTTCAAAAACAGCTAAATGCAGATAAAAGTGGCAAACGATATATCATACATGGACATATATTAATCACAAAAGCTCTGACAGGACATCACGGAAGCTGGCTGGTAGGTCTTAAAGATCCTGCACTAGCATTTACTTAGCCCGCTAGTCTGCTAGCAGCGGCGTTTCTGCAGCCAAACCCATATTTTTAGTGACAGGCTCCGAATATTTAACCATGAACGAATAACGTTGCTTCAGTTATGCTTTCAGTACATGTTAGTTTCAATAACAAGGGGCCTCATAAACCACCGCTGCAGCCGAGACAGCGTTTAGTATCGAAGGGGCTCCGTTATCTAGCTAACAGTATATTCCTTTCCGTCAGAGGCTGCTGGCCGCTGAGCTCCAGCCAACACGGAGAGGGGTCATTCAGCTAACGAGCTAACGAATGTTAATTCGTCTTTAAAACCAAAAGGAGCTTTTAGGTGTGGGTTTTACAGCAGCCACGACCCGCTGACCGTAAGGTCGACGGTATCACAGATAGGAGTGCCTGGGGCGGGGATTTCTCTTTAATTCTTTGGGTATTTTTTTTTTMATTGTTTACCTGGATATGCGATTCCCGACTATCCTTAGCTCGTTTTCAGCTGAAAATGCGGCGCTTCCGGTCACGTGGTCCGCGACGACCAATCAAATTGCAGCAACGCTGTTGAAACAATGTATGGAAGATGCCGCAGACACGAATGTTTATTTCTATCACCTTAAATATATAATACATATAAACGCATTCAAAATAAGTTTTTATTATGCTAACGGTTTCCTCCATGTTTTAGTTTGGCAACAACTGGTCTGAGAACAGAAATAAGGCCAAAGACAACACATTTTCATGTGGCTTTTATTGTAAAACACACAAAAACATGACAGGAATGTGACTAGTCTAAAACCTGTCATCCCAAAATCCTCTACTTAATGTGTAAATTTATAATTAGACCTGGTTGATAAAATGTAAATTTAAAAGGATACAAGGCAATTTGATAACATTGTAAGAATTTGTATTTCTGGGCGATTCAAATTGTCAAAATTGCAGACTAAATTGTCATTTAATATGCTTTTATTATGTCGGTGCCTTAGTGTATCTCGACGAGGATGGTAATAAATGTCAGAGTGCCATCATGCAGGGTAGTGCGTCAGTAACCTCATATTTAAAAAAAAATCCCTGCATAAATCTGCAATAGTTCATTTTTTTTCTTCTCATTTCTTCTTCTCTTCATCCTTTTTGCTGTCTGGCTTGTTTCCTGTCTGGGATGCCAGGGAGCCCATGGCGTTGCGGATGGCCTCGTTGTTGGGATCTACACCAGGCAGGTTCTCCAAAACGCTCTGAAGGAAATCTGGGTCTTGCATCACATCGTAGTCGTCCTCCTCCTTTWTAATAACAAGAAGAAATCAGTTAGGCTAAATTAGATCTTGTTATAAATATATGATCTCAGGAGTACTGCATGTAAAGATCACAAATTTGCTCATCCTTTAAAGTCAGTTTTTTTCCCATGGCAATGGTAATGGTAATGGTAATTGGGGATGGGTACAACCCAGGAGAGCAGGGGCCTAATAAGTGGGCCCATTGCTCTCCCCAAAAGATACTGGGCTTTAATCAAACCTTTTTGTCCCTCGGATGAAGGACACCAGGTTAGAAACCCTCAGTGTTCTAAGCTTCTCGGGATCCACAAAGGGGTCTCCAAGAATTCTTTCCCTTAGACTACTCAGAGCCAAGCATTGGCCTAAGTAGTGCAAAGAGGTCTCTGATTCAATGCCGCAGGCATCACACAGACCATTGTCTTGGAGTCCCATCACCATTTTATGGCGGTTGAGCAGATTGTGCCCAGTTAGGACTCCAACCAGTGTACTTAAAGTATTCCTTGTCAAGGCAAGAAGGGATTTTCCAAATCCATGATTTGGGCTGTTTATCAGTTCCCGTGCCTGTCTACAATCCGTCAGCTCCCTCCATCGGATTGAGTGTTGAAGTCTGATCCATGCCTGTAGGGCAGTCCTGCAGATTGTTGTTGAAATGCCCATAGCAGGCTCTGGTCCTTTAAAGTGGGCCTGACTGCCAGCTCTTGCAAGGTAGTCAGCTCTCTCATTACCATAAATGCCAGTATGTCCTGGTACCCATTTAACAGTAACACTATTATCTCTCCCCAGTTGGTTGACTGCTTCGGCACACACCCAAGTCAGTAGTGACGTGAACTGCGGCCCTTGGAGAGCTTTAATAGCAGCTTGGCTATCTGTCAGGATGAATATTTCCTTCTGCATACACTGAAGTTCATTGAGAGATGCCGCACACTGGTGGATTGCATATATCTCAGCTTGAGATACCTTTACAAAACCGCCTACTCTCTCTTGCTATGGTTGTGCAGAATCAGCACCCCTGCACCTGCTGACCCCTTTATAAAAGGGATCCATCTGTAAAGCAGTAGAAATAATTTGGAGACAGGTCCACCATAGAGAAATTACTCCAGGCTGACCTATCTTCAATCTCTGTCTTAAAACTTGGTTCAAAATTGTGTTTTTTGACCATTCTGTCTCCAGGGCCTGCAGTTACTGGAACAGCAGTAACTGCCCAGTCCCAGATTCTGGTATGCTATGAGTCAGGTAGGCTTTTCCACCTGCCAGACTGATGTAACCTCACCGCGATGGATGCAGCCTCCCCTAGGATGTGTAGATCCAGTGGAGTCAGGTCCAGTAGGACTTCAAGGGCTGTTGTGGGTGTAGTTCTAATTGCACCTGTGATGCTCAGGCAGGCCACACGGTGCACATGGGTGAGCATCACTCTTGTCACCCCAACCTGAATCCGAACCCACCACACTAAAGCTGCATAGCATAGCATGGGGCGGACTATTGTCGTATAGATCCATCTGATAACCTTTGGGGTAGCACCCCAATGACTASCGGCAATTCTARGACACTGATGTAGGCACARTACTGCCTTCTTACACTTTTCATTTATGTGTCTTTTCCAGTTAAGCTTCCTGTCCAGATAGACACCCAAGAACTTAACTGATTCTGACAAGGAGAGTATTACCCCCTCCAATTTTGGAGCTGAGTACCCCTTCCTTGACTTCTTTTGAGTAAAAAGAACCAATTCTGTCTTGTTTGGATTGACAAATAGTTCCTGCTCCCGGCACTATCTGGATACAGTGTTTAGTCCCCCCTGCATTAGGTTACATACAGTACCCAGACAGAAGCCTTCTATAAGTATGACCAATTCATCTGCATATTCT